ATATATAACTTTAAATACATACATATTATACATATAAACACCCATGACTGGAGTACAAACATACGTGCTCATCACACAAATGAATCCCAGCGGGACTCGAACCCGCGACCGCTGGCACAGCAAGTAGGGTCACTATCAACTGAGCTAAACGTGTCGTCGAAATAATTATTATAAATATTATAAATGTTATATTGACAAAATCGATATCTAATGAATCTTCATTTTTTTCATTTTTGCTTTAAATATACTTAATAGTTAATACTTATAGAAGGTTAAATAAGTTTAATTAGCCGGTATATGTAGGTACTGACTTATGCAAATACAAGTAGACTTTATGATCAAAAAAATAATAATACGTGAAGCTTGTTTTTTAATCGTTATCAGGAATTGTAATAAATGAATAATCGGTTCTATATCAAGCATAAAAAAGGCAAATAAATTAATGTCTGTATTTGATTTTTTGCTATCTATTCAGTTGTAACAGCAAAATTTATACATAAGTCATGTAAATAAATTGCTTAGTTTAGATGTGCTTCCGGGTTCTATGATATAGTACGATTAGATATATCCAATGTGTTGTGGACCTGTTCCAAATACACTGTCCGATGGATAATGATTATTATATTATTTCAATTTTAAAACGTTAGAAAAATAATACCAAGAATTAGCATTCTCCTTTTCAATAAAGGATATCGTTCATTTTGGGCCCGAATGTCAAAGCGTCGGCTGGCGACAAACAAAATGTATGCAATGTGTTGGAAGCTCAGCGCAAGTATTTTTTACTATGGCACCAAATCTCAATTTAATTCAATTTCTTTGTTTAGTGGCTTCTAGGACACCAAATCTGTACAACCATTCCTTCAGCAATTATTTTCTGTGTTATTTTTATGATATGTACTCATTTCTTTTGATTAATATGGATAGATAAACGTGTGTTCAGTGTCGTGAACTTTTTTTTTAACGTTGGGAAATGCATTTACGCTCGAGGTGTGGGGACTCACCGGCAAAGCCAGTACTACCCACTATAACCCAACATAACCTTCCCCCGTCTTAATGGGGCATCGCAGGATCGCTTACGCATTCAACTACGACGACCCGACGGCAGGTCTGTCGAAGCAGACCACCACAACCATGGGGTTGCTCCAAGGTCCACTCTGCTATCAGAGAAGTACCAGGAGCAACCCGCATGGTACATCGCCCACCGAAGAGGGCCACCTTCCACCGCCCACTGAAGTGGGCCACCTCCCTGTGCGTTTCTTGCACCACGACAAGATGAACACTCGTTGGAGGGTCAGTGTCGTGAACCTACGAAAAATAGAAGAAGCTATGTTTCTTTGTTTTTCCAGAAAAAAACATCCATCACCAACTACTCAATATCACCAACTTAGTATGAAACAATTAAAAATTAAAAAAAAAACCTACGCAAATTAATTGTCATTTAACGATTACACTGGCACGCGTAAAGCACTTAATCGAGTAATCATACGCCAAAATGCTTACATCATTTTGGAAAAGAGCTGATACTCTTACACTGCTGGACCGATATTACCCAACCATAGCTAAGAACCACCGCAAGGAAACAGGCTTTCAAATGAAAAAAACCGCATCGAAATCGGACCATCCGTTTGAGAGTTACGATGCCACAGACATATACACACACACACACACACACAGAGAGAGAGAGAGAGAGAGACAGAAAGGCATCGACGTCAAACTTATAACACCCCTCTTTTTACGTCGGGGATTAAAAATGGTCTCCTTGAGTATCATAAGTTGTTTTGTGTATGTAAAACATAAAAGATATGTATATGAGTATTATTTATAAACGTAACCTAGTCTTCCGATTTATGACCAGTCACACTCAAGCAGAAGTTACCTTGTTTATGTCGTGCTTTGAATTTAATATACGCACACAATGTATGAACATATATAGGTAAAAATATAATGATTCTTTAAGCTTTATCTATAGGCCGTATAGATGTGGTGTTGCTTGTTACTAGTATTATTTACAAATTTGATATATTTTGTATTCTCTGACTCATCTACAAAGTAAGTACATATTGTAAAAATAAATCTTTATATATATAATTCTTCTGTGAGTGTGTATGTCACTGAACTTCTCTCAAACGACTGGACCGATTTTGATGATTTTTTTGTGTGTGTTCAAGGGGATCTGGGAATGGTTTAGATTCACAATTTGAATAATAATTATCATCAAAAAAATTATTAAAAAAAGTTTGAAGTTTTCAAATTAAAGACGTGTAGAAAGGACAACGTCTGTCGGGTCCGCTAGTATATTATAAAAATAAAAAACTCGATTGCATAAAATGCATACATACGAGTATGTATCTACATCTCGCGGCAAGAATGAAACGTGTATGTTTCCGTCTACATATATTCCTTCGTGAACTTGTTTTCATCTTTAACCGACCCAAAAAGGAGGAGGTTCTCAATTCGTTAGAATCTTTTTTTTATGTATGTTCACCGATTACTCGAAGATGCCTGAACCGATTTGGAAATTTTTTGTTTTGTTTCACAGAGTCCAGTTTCGGTGGTCCCTTGGTGGTATGAGCGGTTTTTAAAAAATGTACAATAAATATACATATTTTAAATAAATTGTTCAATAGAATATGTTATTAAAAAACTTTCTTTTTACAAATTACCTGCTTATTACGTCTACACTAAAAATGGAAAAACAAAAACTTAAAAAAAAAAAACGATTTCCAGGCACTAAAATGTAAAAAATAGCTAAACGGTGGTTTTCATTTAGAATAGATGATACCTAATTCAGATATTTTCGAAGTCGGTGCCAGCCGACAATATTTATAGATATGAATATCTAATAGGTAAATATGTATTTTACGTATCGAAATATATTAGATTTCCTTTGCGTCGGCTGGCACCGACTTCAAAAATATCTGATCTCACCCTCGCTCTGGTTCGCCTCTAGAAAAACAAATACAAAAAAACAAACCAATCTATCCAACGGAAAGTGTACATTCTTCCGGGATAAAAAGATATGAAATCTGGATGAAATTTGGCACAGAGGTAGATAATAGTCTGAAATAACCTATGTGCTATTTCAGACTATAAACTATCTTTGTGCCAAACATCCAGATCCGTTCAGCCTTTCTATCGTGACTGAGTAATAATCATCCATCGACACATCCAAACATCTAAACTTTCACATTTATAATATTAGTAAGATTACGACCTTGTTAAAATGTTTGACCATAGGTAAATACTACATGTGTAAATACGAGTACATATTTTTATTCTGAGCAAAAGTCAGAATGACATCATTTTTAATTGATATAAAAGCTATCATTGAAATTAGATACTTCTTCAGTTTGATGTTTATCATTTTCCTTGATACTTTACAATGTAATATCTACACGCGTTGAATTTAAAGTCATCGTAGATCACTGTTTGACCCTAGCGGCTCCTTCGAAGGTTTATGGTTTGAATCTTAATTCAGTACCTACCTATTCTTATTTGCTGCTTCCGAATGAGACAATGCTACATTAAAATGAGGCTGTGTAAATATAATCTAACGAATTGCTATATAATTATGTATCATCTATTATATTTATATAAAAGAAATATAATTTAAAATTATACTTTATTAGGGTACGTACAAATAAAATGATATTATTTGGCTTTGGTTTGAATGACTTTGGCCTTTTAAACATTTGATAATAATTTGACTACGTGGGAAAGACCTTAATTATTGTAATTTGATAGATCTTTTAAAGTCCCACTCGTGAGCGCTTTGGCCTTTTTAAATTTTAAAAAGGAAATTGATAAAAAGGAAATCTAAGTAAATCATGAATAAAAAAAACAAACTATAGAGACGGAGTTTTCCTACCAACGAAACAAAATATAATAATTTGATTACGGGAAGAAGACTATTATTATATTAATTTGATGGTCCTTTTCACGAACGTCCCACTCGTGGGCGTGGGTTCTCTTTAATTCGCGAGGGATTAGGCCACGGTCCAATATTTTAGCCATTGCATTGGTGGACTATATATATTGCAAAAACTCCTAAGGTTCTCTCAGACATGCAGGTTTTGCCTCCATTTTTATATTCATCAAACTGTAATCATGTTAAAAATGAGATTGCCAATGATCGGTTTTACTCTGTCCAAAGCCAGGTGAACTTTCATTCGTATTTTTGGATTTCAATGTGATTATTTTACCTGCACAGGTAAAGGGCTTAAAATATAGCTAAATCTCATTTCAATCGATCGAGTTGATTGATGTCAAGTTAAAGAACGAATGTCATGCACTTAGGATAACGTTGCAGACGAAATCGCATAACATAATACCTAATATTTTTTAATAATTATTAGTATTACTTAAGATTCCCTTGAACTATCAAATTACCATAATTACTCGTACTTTCGCAATTTACATGAAACAATGGAGCATGAATATCATAATTTAACTATATAAAACGTATTATTTGTTGCTTTAAATAATATAACTATATTATTTTTAGTGATATATGATATATCTAATTATATAACAATTAATAAATAAAAAAATCATATTTTATCTTTACGTTTTTAAATTAACGGACTTTTGATGGAAATTATTGGAAATATCTATATACATATGTGTATAAAAATCAATTGCTGTTCGTTAGTCTTGCTAAAACACAAAAACGGCTGAACCTATTTGAATTATTCTTATTATTAAAAAAAAATGGGAAAAACAAAAACTAACAGCTGGAAAATTGAAAGGTCAGATAAATCCCATACAAAATAAACAGTTCTGACTCAGAACTGTTTATTTTGTATGGGAATCACTACTTCGGATTACTTCCAATAGATGGCGTTAGTGGCGGACCTATCACTGTAGTTGATAGGTCCGCCACAACAATGCGTACACAATGCGTCAAGTTTAATGGCCGATTCACACATATCAGCAGTCAGTCAGTGTCAGTGATGACACAGTGTTCTCACTCTCAGTGACGGAGCCGGCGCTGGCAATCAATAATCATGGACGTAATCGGCGACGATGATATTTTTTGTCGGATCACGGACGCCGCTGCATACAAAAAAATGGTCAGCGAGAAATTGATTGAAATATTTCTTTCCTCTTAAATTAATTCTTTGTATAACGTCATGAATTCTTATTTTTTCTCTTAATTGCCATGCTTCTTGCACCCATTTTCTTTCTTTTCCTTGATGCTGCTCCTCTTCTTTGTCTAAAGCAGTCTATAATTACAAGTTTCGTATTATTAGACAGAGCCATAGCAACAATCATAATTACCTCAGTACATCGCACAAGTTTTGCCTGAAGATCCGTAGATAACTGAGTACTGACATGTGTCAATTGATGCACTGCTGCATCACTGTAGCACTGATACGGACCTGTGCGGACGCGTTGCCGGAACTGTGACTTAACTGATAAGGTGTGAATCGGCCTAAAGGTATGAAAATAAGAGACAACTATAAAAATTATTTTAACGTTTGAAGTTTTTCAATAGTTCAAAAATTTTCAAGACAAGATTTTTAAAATTAGTAAAATTGACGACTAAGAACACATTTCCGTGTCGTTTTCTAATAAAAAAATATTCCATTGCTAAGGAAGAGACAAGCCGACATACGAGTACATAGGTCGTCGACGTCAATCAAATATGCGACGAATTACGAGCTCACGTGCAAACCGCTCAGATGACCAGCGAGTGACATATAATGATAATAGTTGTATTTGTAATTTTTTTGTCCGAATTTTGTAAAGGTGAAGTAGAAAATGTGAAATGTGAAAAGGTAAGAAATAAAGGTAGTGGAGCTTGCTAAATACTTTTAACGAAAATTAAGCGAATCGGAGGAGTAAAGCCGCAGGTTTTGCTATTTATAAAAAAGAATATTAAATTTTAACTTAGAAAAAATATGAATATTTTAGAATTCTATGTGAAAAAGGGTTATAAAAATGGAATTACAATTTTTCACGATAATTGCTAATGGAAACTGGTGTATAATTTATGAATTATAATTTTCCTTTCCTGATTAATAATAATTAATTAATATATGAAACTAAGTTACCCCGGTTAACCTATAATTGTTTTTTTTTAATTAAATACTTTATAAAAGATTATTTTCATTATTAAACTTTTCACGCCAATTTCGTGACATTAAGTTTGGTTGAATTTCAATATTTTCCATATCTATTTTTATAATTTTATATTTCAACCCTAGGTACGGTTTTTTATGGACTAGAATCTAGATGAAGCAGTCTATCATGACATGTTATTAGATTAGTATAGTAAATTAAATATAATAGCCATAATTATTAGTAGTAACATTTATATTGCACGCATAATTATCGAACTATATCACTGATTACATAAATATATTATATGTATTTTTGTGTTAACTTAATATATTTTTGACGAAATAGCTGTAATATTCTTTAAATATACCCTTGTACTTATTATTTTATGAGGCAATGTGTGAAAAGCGAAAATTTAACTTTGGGTCCATATTATGTTTATATAAGTCAACAATATTTCTTAAATATTTAACATGTTATAAAATTTATTAAACAAATTTGAAATCTAAGCTGGATTAGGTGTTTTGGCGATTAGTTAAGAGATACTATAATATATAATATATATCACATACATATAATACAACATATTATTTCTTAGGGAATACTCAAGCAGGTTTTTTTTTGTCAATGAGTCTTTTTGGCCGATTTAGGCGAAGCTTAAAGGAGGGTTATGTGTTTGGCTTTTATGTAGTATGTATGTACATATTTATGACGGATACTATGTTTCCTCGTAATTAGTAAACCTTAACCGATTTTAATGATTCATACGTCCTTACATTGGTCTTGATAACGCAAGCGTGTACATAGGCTATACAAATATTATGAAAAATCAAAATGGCGAATTTTAGGTGCCAATTTATGTCTTGAATTTTTTTTGTCCTTATGAATTGAGTGGGGTATCAAAATATAGGTTTTAAGAGGTGATTACAAAAATATATGGAACTTATATATATTTTAAACTGATGACACGTTTGGCTCAGTTTGTACTTTGTAGTGGGTCACTACTTGCTGTGCCAGCGGTCGCGGGTTCTAGTCTCGCTGGAGTCATTCATTTGTGTTATGAGCACGGATGTTTGTACTTCAGTCATGGGTATTAAATTTATAATACGTATGTAATATGTATTTGAAGTTATATATATGTAGTGTATCAAATATCTGGTGTCCATAATAACACAGGCCTCGTAGTTTACCATGGAACTAGATGGTGCTGTGTGTTAATGTCCCAACATATTTATTTATTATTTATTTATAAAGTGATTTGGGATAAGAAACTGTTAAATAAAATTCCAAATGTCTAAGTGGCTAGAACTAAAAAGCTCTAAATAAAAAAAAATGTTTACAAAAATAAAAATTCGACTGCGTTAAAAGAGACGTCGGTGGCAGCCGACAATGCTTTAAGATATGAATGTGACAAGCATGGACGACAAGGTATGAGCTCTATTTATAGTTAAAATATTGTACATCCATTTGTAACGTATTTATACTTATCGAAATAGATTGGCTTTGCTTTGCATCGGCTGGCACCGACTTCGAAAATATCATCAAGTATCTGTGTAAATGAAAACCCCAATCAGTTATTTTTTACTTTTTAGTGCCTGGAAGACTGTTTTTTTTGACGTCAATTTTTAGTTCCGTTTTTTACGTAGTCGGGTTCTTTTTATTTTTATAATTAAATTGTTTGCGCTATTTTATTAAAGAAGGAAGTACTTAACCAACATGGCATTACATGTTTTTGATACTTGTGAATGGATTTTTGCCTCTTTTATACCGATTTTTTTTTATCTCAAGGTCTCATATAAACAAGAAAAATACTTCAGCCTTAAGTTGTTGCGATAAAGTCATTGTATATTTTTTACGATAAAGAATTCTATTATTATTATTATTTTAATCAGATTTTAAAGGCTATGTAACTTTGAAAGTCATTATTTATAAAGAAAACTAAAATAGAAGTGTCTGTTTGTAATTTCAAAATAACAGCTTTTTACTACATGCATATGGCATTATAAACGATATTTAAATAAGAAAAATCATTTTTTTTTTATTTTTGTCTGTCTGTTTATTCCGGTTAATCTCCGAAACGGCTGGACTGATTTTGACGGGACTTTCACTGGCAGATAGCTAATGTTATAAGGAGTAACTCAAGCTACTTTTATTTTAGAAAAAGAGGGTTAAGGGTTGCGCTCAAAAAAAATCAAAACGTACCTAGGGTCGCAACTGAGCGAAGCGAGGGTAAGTCGCTAGTCTGTAATAAAATCCGTCTATGTAGGTAAATCTTTGGTTTTTATAAACAAACATTTTACTGAAATACGTTGAGCTTATATAAAAAATAAAAATGTGGGTATATGGATATAAATAAATTATAAATGTTAAGTATGTTCAGGTAAGAACATGTACATTTACTTATATTTACTTAAATACTGTTTTTATTCTTTTAAGTATAATGATCTTTAAGACGTCTTCTTTTGAAATAATTGTTTGTAGCGTTTAAGAAAAAACATCTCTTTTTATGTCGTATCCAGTTAGAACTTGTTTTGAATCTTTTGTTCTAAGAAGTACCAAATTTTTTTTATTTGGCAAAAATGTAGTTTGTTGATAAGTAGCCGGTTTCATGAATATTAACAAGTCTTTACAATTTAAAATATTAACAAGTCGACAAAATGTCATCGGAGAACGATGACATTAGTCGCAACATTTGTTATTTTATGAAATAAGTTGTAATAAGCTGAATAATAACTTACAGGAAGAAACATAATAACATAAAAGTTTTAAGGTTTATGTATTTCAAAAATGTTTCTGGAAAAATTACCTGTTATCAGGAGAGACATTATACGATTTTTTTTATCTTACTGACAGGAGCGTAATTAGCTTTTTTGGGCCCCAATGCAAAAAAAATGGGAGTGCCTCCTTTACCTATTTTGAAAACAAATGTGGTCCACAGACAAATATATTTTTCGGACTTCTCACTTTTTCAAACCGCTCTCACGAAAGAATGGGTAGTGTAAAATTTAGTACAAAAGGCTGAACTTACCATTCATCGTTTTATAGAACATGGGTACGATCATATTCCTCTTGGCCCTCGTAAAAAATAATATGTGGTTCTTACGATTTTTTTTCTTGCGGGTTATTTTAAACTTCTATGAGTGCTGTCCTCATAATTTTTTTTTTAAATAAAAGAAGCATTTGTGACCCGCTGGGGTCCCCTAGATCCGTACGTCACTGATTACTGATTTGAAACCTGTGTCCTAGCTGTATCTAGTTGTACCTAAATCTTCTTTTGAATTATATAAGTACGTACAATATAGAGTGACATAGAGCAATTAAATATCAACACGAGTGTTATTTTACCTAACATATTTATCTTCTATAATGGAAATTAATTCACGCATGTAATTCTTGATATATTCACACAAAATGTTCACAAATTGGTGACAATTTTATCATCTAACAAATTATGTTTGAATGTGTTACCTAATAAAATTATCACCAAGTTATGTTATATTAGTAATTATATTTCTTCGCTTCATTCTTCAGATATAGTATAAACAGGTATCCCTTTTAACCCACAAGGTAGCTTACGCACACATTCGCACATTTTTTTTAAAATTCGATATGTATATAGATTTTTAAATCAATTCGTTACTCGCTAATGTCTATATCCCTACTAGTCAGTACCGTCATTACTTTTTTCGTGCGAGGTACCAAGCACACGTGTACTCTTTGTGTAAAAATTCCAAAGAAAAGTTTAAATATTCAAGAAGATATTAACTAATACAAACGGGAATTCAAGAAACTTAAGGAACAACAATTGTATAAATGTCATTTGGTTAAAATAACATCATCATTTGAGTCCACTTTGTACATAGATACTATCTAAGATTACCCACATTTTGTCGTCATATTCTATTAAATATTAGATATACATTTATAATCTTATTTAAAGCCTGGCGGCTAACTGAAAATTATCACGATGGTCACATAGAATTATATAACCATAAAACAAAACGTACTATTAAGATAATAAATATAAGTATATTTCAATTGCCTAGCAGTTAACCGTGAGTAAACACGACGATCGTATAAAATTGAAAATTAACAAATATATAATATTATATACCTTGTATTATAATATGTTTATTTTGAACGTTTTTGTCTGGCGATTAAATAAAAGAATAATGGCACATTATTATTTTGCAGTAACTTACACATGCATGTAAATTTAGTTTTTAACCTGGCGGTTAATTGTACGATAAACACAAAGATACCTAAGCATCGTTATCGTCTTTTTCATTAGGGATCGATGTATTCTAGATCCAAACATTAATGAGGCCAAAATTAATGACAATTCCAATCAGGACACTATCGCCTAGGGCAAAAATTTCGCGCTTTTCAAAAATGTGGTCCCGATGTTGGTCCAGTACTCGATACAGATGTTCTCATAGCACTATGGAAGGAGACTGAAAACGATCAATTTGGTGGAAATACACCGTACTTTGGCGCAAACTTTAGCCTATTTTTAAAAAAGGTATATTATATTCTTTATAGAGGTTAAACATAAACTAAACTATTAAAAGATTATCTTTATTTTTACCTACTTATATATTTATATTTACCAAAAAAGCAATAAAATTAAATAATGAGGCAATTTCAAATACCTATCGCCAATAAAACAAGCCCTCTGGACTCATTCGCGATTGTCAAGAAGCTGATGCAAGATCAACAGTAGTACTCGCAAAATAATAATAAAATATACAATACTACAAAAACATAATAATCTTATTGAAACAGTCATTATTATCGATACAGAGGTCGAATTTATAGTTTTTAGAATTTTTGTCTGTCTGTCTGTTACCGCATCACAGTGAAACCACTGGAGGGATTTTGATGAAATTTGGTATGGTGAAAACTGATTATCCGGGTCAATATATAGTATCCTTTTTACCGCGAGAAAATATCTTATTTCTGAGAAAAAATACAAAAACTGCAATGTAAGAGTATACTAATATGTAAAACCTAAGAATCTGGTTTTTTGTCATCTGAACGCGGGCGGAGCCGCGGGCAATGTTAGTAATAAAATAAAAAGTGACAATCAATGTGGAATGCTGACGTTTTTCACGAAAAAAAAGATAAACGTAGAATAGAATAATTAACAAATGTCACGCAAATTAATACGTAGATTGCAAGGATAACATTTATTATTATTTTCAATTACCACGCAATGCAGCCATTTAAAAAAAACAATAAAATAGAAGTAAATTAAGAAAAGATCTCATTTATACTATGAACCTAACGACTTACCCTCGCTTTGCTCGGGTGCCTCCCTATGTACCTAAAAGTTGTCTATGTGTGGGTAACATCTATAGTCTATTAAAAATACTATTAGTCTAGTAAATATCATTCAAATCTGCCCAGCCAGCGTGCAGAAGTAACAAAAATAGCTACATACATACCTTTGTATTTATAATAGTAGTCCAATAAGAGAGCTGTGTGTATCGCGTAAAGAACTAAGAAAGCCTTTACTAGGTATACATAATCTGGCCATAAATACTGTTACAATTAAAAATAAACAAAATATTACATTTGAATTTGGAATCTGTCATTTTTATATGATTGTTCATTGTGTTCTCTCAATTTCGCGCCAATACATTGTAAAATATTTTGTGATATTAAAACGGAGTGGGCCGTGGGGTGATAAAGAAACCGAATCGCTGTGATTGCATTACACAAAGTAGGTATGGATCCAAATACAATTTTTAAAACTCTCCATACGCTTGGTATTAGTCAAATGTTTGTGTAAGGGGCTATTGATAGGTACAATGAAACCTCCTCTGTTTTTGACAGAAAAGATCTGGCCGTCTATGTCCGTGCGTACGAAAAAGGCGATCGAAGCAGTAAGAGAAAGAATTCGAAGAAATCCTGTCCGAAAACAAAAGATTTTATCTCGGGAGATGAAAATAGCACCTAGAATCATGTAGCGTAATTTAAAAGACTTAGGACTTGCAGCCTATAAGATCTGGTCGTGAGACTTGTCATTTCTTAACTGATAATTTAAAAAAGAATAGGGTGGTAAAATCAAAACATCTACTTAAGCGGTACGCAAGGGGAGGTCACAGAAAATTTTGTTTACGGATGAGAAAATTTTAACAATTGAGCAATATTTTAACAAACAAAATGACCGTATTTATGCTCAAAGCTCTAAGGAAGCTTCTTAATTAGTCAACAAAGTACAACGTGGGCATTATCCGACTTCAGTGATAGTTTGGTAGGGTGTTAGCTATGAAGGAGTGACTGAGCCATAAAGATATCAAAACATCGGCACAAGTGTATCAAGATACAATTCTCGAGAAGTTAGTTAAGCCCCTTAACAACACCATGTTCAAAAACTAAAGATGGTCCTTCCAGCAACACTCGGCGCCGGGTCATAAAGCTCGATCCACGCAAGCTTGGTTAGAAACCCACGTTCCAGACTTCATCAGAGCTGAAGACTGGCTGTCATCTAGTCCCGATATTAATCCGCTGGATTATGATTTATGGTCAGTAGAGAGTATGGCTTGCTCTAAATGCCATGATGATTTAGAGTCCCTAAAACAATCCATACGATTGGCAGTGAAGAATTTTCCTATGGAAAGAGTGCGCGCTTCTATTGATAACTGGCCTCAACGTTTAAAGGTCTGTATTGCAGCCAGTCTTATATTAATCTATTAAACTAACACACTGTAATAGTAATAAATGTTACGTGCAATAGAAAAAATGTTTTTTTCTTTGTCGGTGATATCATCTGTTGTTAGTTTATATGTATATGGATATTAAAAATTGGCGCAACAGACCGTGTTAAATTCGTATATTAATTATTCTTATCTTTTAATGGATATTATTTATTTATGTAATAGAGAACTAAACAACTTCATATTTAATAAACTGTAGACCACAGAATGATCACGACTTATTCCATGACGTCTGATAAATGTGGAAGAATTCGATACAAAGCCTTGTTTTTATTATTTATACTTGCAAATTTATGGTAGCTCAATAAAAAAATGTTGCAGTAATTAAGTATAGAGATTGTCAGATGCTATGTACGATAGTAGAATAGCTTTTTCCAGAATAATAACTATTGAGTATCTCTGTAGTATTAACTAATAAGTAATTCAAATAAAATTAAATAGACTAGAAATATAAGTAGATAGGTATTTATACTACTTATTAAATAAAACCATTAAAAAAACACGGAAATATAAAATTCAAAAAAATGTTTTTTCCGTTTGGGACTTACAGGAAACACACTCGTTAAATTTATAACTCCCTCCTCTTTTTATGTAAGGGAATAAAAATTAACAAAAAATATGTTAGTACCTAACTATATAAATACGTGTAGGTATTAATAAATTGGGAAGATAAAAACTATAATTCCCGAATAAATAAAAAGTAATATGTATATGATATGATGAAAAATATAAATTTTAAGTATTTATTAATCAAAAAAGGTGTACTTATTATAATTTTCTGAATTTGCATTTGGTTAAAATATATTTATATACTCGTACTTACTTGAGGTTCGGTGTGATAGTCCCAATTCGCATCCGTGAATTGCAGCATTGTTGCCAGCGCTGGAATGTCCATGAATACTTGCTCAGAGCCTCCAGCTTCAATAAGTAATACCTTGGCAGAAATATATTTTATTTTAAGTATTGGCTTAAGAGGATTGTGAAGTGCCGATACGCGGCGAGAGTAGGTATTTTAAAAAATGCTATCTGTTTCATACCGCTTTGCATCCCCCAGGCAGTGAACAACACAAATACAACATACGCAAATTCTCACGCACACTATGATAGCAGCAGCCGGTGACGCGCGGGAGCTCGCGGGGGGCGGCGCGACTCGGCGCAAGAGCAATTTCAAAGTTTATCTAATATCTACGGTTTGCGTACAATATACATTCCCTACAAATTACATCGCACCTTTATTCATAAACTGAAATAACTCTAAATTACAATTTTGTGGCGAATATCATTTAAAATTTGACTTGTGTTTAGATTGATGACTTCAAAAAATCATAAAAAAATAAATAGGTGGTTTAGATCAATTACAAAAATCTCGTTCCAAAAGTTGAAAGTTTTAGATTTTTGTTGTTGTTTATGTACCCATCGGAATCCTTTTATTTTTAAAATATTTTTTTTTATTGAAAACCTGAAGTTTTATAATTTTATAATGTTAGCAGGTATATAAGGAATAGAAATTCATAAAATGACCTGATCATGAATGATGATGATTTACGATTTTTTAACAAATCTATGACTAAATTTTATAAAATATTATATTAACTTAATTTTTTAAAATATATTTTTAACTAATGAATAAACAAGATTAGATTACGAATGAATTTCATTTCTTTCTGTAATTGCCCTAAAATCATTTTTTTTAGAAAAATCTATAAAATTAACTCCAAAAACTAATAAAATATCGATAAATTCGAAAAAATTATAACGAATAGTATGTATATTATATATATATTATATATATATATATATATATATATATATATATATATTGGATTTGGGAAATGGGCAGGGAGAAGAAGAAGAAGATATATATATATATAATTATACACATACTATTCGTAATAATTTTCATAAAATTATAACGAATATTATAAATTATAACAAATATAGAATTAAAAATATAAACTTTACAAAAATAAAAGTATTTTTATTGCTCCTTCTAAACGGTAATAGTCCAGCAATTAGCAAAAGAAAGCGCGTGACCGGTGGAGGGCGAGGGGTGGAGGGGTGTAGGAAGTGGCCCTTACTCATTTAAACTTAGCCAGATATAATGATGATGATGATATAGAAAATATTTTTATTTTTGTATGAAAATGAAAATTTAAGAAATATATTTTTTTCTTGTTACAGAGGTTGTTGTTATGATGTAAACAGTATATTCCCAAAAGGTCTTCAGTAAATTAAAAATGATATATATATTTTCCAGTTTTGTATTTTTTCTCAGAAATGAGATATTTTCCCGCGGTAATCCTATATGTTGATCCGGATAACCAGCTACCACCATACCAAATTTCATCAAAATCCCTCCAGTGGTTTTTCTGTGCCGTGGTAACAGCAGACAGACAAAAATTCAAAAAACTATAGATTCGGCCTCTGTATCGATAATAATGTTTATTTCAATAATATTTTCCAAAAAATATTTAATGTACAGATACTTCTTAGTTACAATCTATACATACGAGTATAATAAAATTCTAAACTTTGGATTGAATCCTTTCAGTATCGATCGATACATCGATATTACCTTCTCCTCACTAGGAGATAATAATATCGATAGCACCTTCAACATCACTACAGTCTACAATATGCCCCTGCCCCCGACCCGTATGGTGCGATAGAGAGAGTTGCAAGTCTTAGACTCAATCACCTACATTTCCTTTTTGAAATATTGTTTCGGGCGATAACGTTTTCACCCCCCTAAACAGTAACGAAATGAGACAATTTTGGTCTCATTAGATTCAGTACACCTTAATCTAGGTCTGTACGTTTTCCTTTTTTTGTAATTCAGTTTAGTTTAATTTAAAAAAATAAAAACGCTGTAGGAAGTTTTTAGGTCAAAAATATAGATATTTAGATGCTAATAACTTCTATCGTACGCAATATTTCTAAAAAATAAAAACGTACGGACCTAGATTTTGATTATATCTACAACATTTCCAAAAATTATGAAAATTAGACAATGTTTAAGGGGGGAAAAACGTTATCGCTTTTTGTATGAAAATTTACAGCTTCACAATCCTCTTAACGTTTTGCTCGGGTGCATCCCTAGGTGCTTTTTGTATTTATGATACCTATTACTATCGAGTATCGACTAAACCTCCCTTACTCGGGTACTTCTCTAGATGTCTAATAGTAGTCTATGTGTCACCCGGGTGATAATATTATAACTCAGTAAAATTTCATCCAAATCCGTCCAGCCATTTCAGCGTGAAGGAGTAACAAACACACACATACAAAGTTTATGTATTTTTTTTCTATACAAGGTTTCTTTTGAATGGAGGTCCAACAAAAATAAAATCAATATTAGCTCATAAATTAGCGAAGATATCGCGTTCGTTAGATAAAAAGTAAAGCTCTAAAAGCTTCGTAGTTCAAAAAAGCCGCTACTGCTGTATAGTAGTAATATTATTTGCATAAACTTGAGTTATTATAATGTGATTTTTTTTTTAATTTAAATTTTTACACGTGTAGAGTAAACTAACTGTACAAATTTATTTTATAGTTTTTTATACTCGTAGTTTAACAGCACTGGTATCTGCACTTAATCTATACTAATATTATAAAGACGCAGAGTTTGTTTGTTTGTTTGTTTGTTTGTTTATTTGTTTGTTTGTTTTTTTTGGTTGTTTGTTTGTTTGGCTTGTTGTTTGTTTGTTTGTTTGAATGCGCTAATCTCACGATCTACTAGACCGATTTGAAAAATATTTTTGCATTAGATAGCCCGTTTATTGAGAGAGACTATAGGCGACATACTCTTCACTCGGATTCGCCTCTAGAAAAACAAAAATAAATTATCCCATGGGAACTGTACATTTTTCCGGGATAAAAAGTGGCTAATGTGCTATTCCAGACTATAATCTATCTCTGTGTCAAATTTCATCTAGATCCGTTCAGCTATTCTGCGTGATTGAAAAACAAACATCCAAACATCTAAATTTTCATATTTATAATATACCGTTAAAACGTAGGTAGATATAGTTCCCGTCACGTAAAAAGAACGCTGGCCGTTTACCTGCGCATTGATCGATTTATAGATAAAATTGGTGGTAGGTAAGGGGTGCGACCGCCGGTGAGTCCCACATAACCACCTGATGTTTACAGGTGGTATGCGTAAATGCATTTCCCAACACAAAAAAAGGCCTTAGGCCCGTAAAGTTATTGATATAGCAAAAATAGCTATTACTATTACTTATTATATTTATTATATTACTATTGTTTTATATAATGTATAACACATTACTAAATTATAAATATGTTGTGACATTAACACCCAGTACAATCTAGTTTCATGGTAAGCGACGACGAGGCTTCTGTTATGGATACCAGATAGTTGATACACACATATGTATTCATATATAACTTTAAATACACATATAAATATAAATATTACTACCCATGACTGGAGTACAAACATTCGTGTTCATCCAACGGCTACTTAGCCCGATAGACGCCTAATTCATGTACTTCTGCACCCAAACCTATCAGTCAAAAGTTTGAGGTAAGTGTTACGGGGGAGGCGGGTTGAAATGTACGCTGATTGGTTAATTCAATACAAATAGTGATAGGAACCAAAAGTTTTATATCGTATCGTAGGTAGGTATCGTATTTAGTAAAATAATTTTCTATTTTAAAGAATATTTTTAATTAAGACAAGTTTTCTTTACTATAATGAAATAATAATAGAATACTTAATATTATTTATACAGGTTTATTCAAGGTTTATTTACAGGTATATCCATGGTTAAAGTTTTTAGAAAACTGTCCCTTACACTCTGTATAACTAAACTACTACTTATTTACATTAACTTATTATTTATAAAAAAAATACATTAGGCACTTATTACAATTATTTATTCTTTACATTTAGTTGTTTTTGAAATGTATTAACTTTGTGTAAATTCAATGAAACCAATTTTCACGTCTCGTAGCATTTATCCACTTTTCTTTTATATTTGAATCTTATGGAAACCTAAATAAAATTTGATACACTTTCAATTAATTCAAATATTCATTAAAGCACATTCACTAAAAAACACTTAAAACAAATACAACCGACAACCGAGTTCCAGGCACTAAAATGTAAAAAATAACTAAACGGGGGTTTTCATTTAGAATAGATACCTAATCAGATATTTTCGAAGTCGGTGCCAGCCGACGCATAGGAAATCTAATATATTTTGATACGTAAAATACATATTTAACTATTAGATATTCATATCTTAAAATATTGTCCGCTGGCACCAACTTCGAAAATATCTGATTAGATATCTATTCTAAATGAAAACCCCCGTCTAGTTAATTTTTACATTTTAGTGCCTGGAAGTCGGTTGTATTTTTTTTTAAGTTTTTTTCCATTTCTAGTGTAGACGTAATAAGCAGGTAATTTGTAAGGTGAAAGTTTTTTAATAACATATTCGATCAAACAATTTATTAAAAAAAAAAATTATTGTTGATTTTTTAAAAAACCGCTCGACCGATTTCGATAAAAAAATTTATGGGACCACCTGGGAAGTACACCCTTTCAAAGAAAACAAAATTTTCCAAATCGGCTCAGCAGTCTTTGAGTAATCGGTGAACATACATTAAAAAAAAAGATTCCGACGAATTGAGAACCTCCTCGTTTTTGGAAGTCGGTTAAAATCAGCTTACAACTATGTCGTCCGTAAAACATTCAAAAAAACATACATAGCCTTGTACCAATTTTATTTATTTATTTATTTGTAAAAAGCACACTTACAACATACATATGAAACATTTTCAATTTAATTAATGAAATAATAATATAACTTATATGCATGTCAATTATAAGTGTACATAGCATTTAAATATTCATGAATTAAAAGTACAAAAATTTAATAATAATAATTATTATTATTATAGATA